AGACATCGCTCCTTTCGTCTGGTCCTTCTTTCACAAGCCTGACCGACACCAGCTCCCGCGCCGTACGCCCTTGTTTGCTCCCCACACACACTCAACCACTCACCCACGCATATGGTTCACCAACCTGCCGTTTATTAAAAAGCACGCACCCATCACACCCGGCTGGCCGGTCTCACATTATGCCGGCCCTGTCAACCCGCACAGGATATCGGCGCCATTGTACGGCTCCACCCAGTCAGCACACTGACCGCGCCGCTGGCCGTGTTGATCCTCCTTGCCGGCCTGGGCGTGTGGAGCGTCTTGGCGGGGTCCATGTCGTACGTACAGCAGCGGAAGGATGATGCGCGCAGCCAAGCGGTGGACGCCGCCACGGGCTTCCAAGTGAGGGTCGGGGGAAGGGACGCGGCGTATGGGTTTGCACTATCCTGACTAGCCAGGCGTGGACGCCCCGGAGGGATGAAGAGGAGGAGGAGAGGAAGGGGAAGCGGGAGTGAAGGGCGTGCTCGTTGTGGGTGAGTGGTATAGGATGGCTGCATGGGACATGGCTTGTTTTCCTTCTTGGTCTGTCCGCAGCGTGGGCCGCGCCTTCTCCCTACCCCCCCACCATTAATCCCACCCCCACGCCCTGACACCACTTCCCAAGTCACTACTGGTTGGTTACTTCTTACAACTCCCTGATGCAGTATCTATCTATTGCTTTACTAACCGTCCATCTCTGGTATCAGCATCGCTCTCTGTGTTTCGTCTTCCCCCCGGGCCCCCGACACCCCCTCTCTTGCAGATCCAGCTCGAACAGACCTATACCCCAGGTGTCACCTTTTCGCTGCTGGTGCGGCAGCACCCGGAGTGGGAGTACTGGTTGGCTAATTTCAACAGCACGGCGGAGGAGCTGATGTCCCGGGTAGGGTAGTGGTAGCATGGTGGCAGGGCAGGGGGCCCAGGGGTGGTGGTGATGGTGGTGGTGGCAGTATGGTGGTGATGGTGGTGGTGGAAGTCCGTAGCGCTGCAGCGGGACCGCTGGTGGTGGTGATGGCGGAGTTGTTATTGTTGTTGGTGGTGGTACCAACGAAGGTAAGATGTCCGCTCCCAAAGCTTTGGATCGCGGTTTCACAGGGGGGCTCGGGTCTTGGGGAGGGATGTATTACCGGGTTGCACGACTCAGGAGCCTGCCATATGCGCGGGCACCTTCTCCGCATATATGCTATCCGCGTAACCCACCCACCTGTCTCCTACAGTCTCGTCCATCTCCCATCCCCATACCCCACCACCACCATCACCTAAATGACATCGGGAGTTGTTTTACTTGGTGGGATTTGCATGTATGATGTGTGAAACAGGGGGGTATATCTTCGCCCGTGGCAGCTACCCTGCGAAACCCTGCCTTCCCCGGTATTTCGGGGCACCCTCATCCAGTCACCCTAGTGAACTTCTCAGTGGATCGCTCAGGTTCCGCACCCACCACCAGCATCCAACGGAATCTGCCGGGTCGACAGCGGCCCAACTCCATTCCTGGTCGGCTCGCAGGTTAACTTTATCCCAGGTCACCACCGTCCATCAACTAGGGGCGCAATACCTTCCACCATCGGAGGGATTTTTGACCCTAATGGGTATCGATCCCGGGATCGCCCGGGGGCAATGGTCGCGCGTTACCAGTAGTGCCAGACCATAATATATGCATGTATGTATGTATGTATGTCCCACCAACCCATCCGGCCTCGGCGTGCATGCAGACGCCCGCAGGGGCCTTATGGAACATGCAGCTACAGCCTTTCGGCCAGCTGATGTCCATCTACCCCTTCCGCCCCTCCGACGCGGCACTGGTCTCCCCACCTCGGGACCAGCTGACAGGTGCGCCGCCTGCAACAAGAAACACACACACTTACACACGCAATCGCCCGCGACAGCCCGCAACCACCCCGTCTGCTCCTGCTACTGTCCATGATGCTACAGCCCTGGCGGCGTGTGCCTGGCTCCCCGTCCCCGTCCTTGGCCGATTCTTCTTTGCATTTCATGCATCGCATGAGTTAATGGCCCACATCGTCTGCTACAGCTTCTCCTGTCCCGTGTTGTGGCCACCAGAGGTCCTTCTGCTGCTGCTGCTACTGCTGCTGCTGCTGCTACTGCTGCTGCTGCTGCTGCTCTTAGTGCTACTGCATGCCCACGATGCTGCGGCATCACTCCTGGCTGAGCTCCTGCCCAATGCCGTCGGGGCCGCTCTACCGCAACTCAACCCCTTTGCTACCTGCTTGTCCTGCACGGGCGCCTGCTGGCGGTCGCCGGTTGCCCCCCATGCGGCGGGCTGTCCCGCCCCTCGCAGAGCCCCTTCGGCGGGAGAGCGTGTTGGCCGCCATCTCCACTCGGGAGCCCCAGGTCGCTGGGCCGCTGCGGCTGGGACAGGGCTTCCTGGGGGCGCTGATCCGCTACCCCATCTTCGTGCGTGAGTGGTTGGCTGACTGGCTGTGGGTTGGGTGGCTGACTGGCTGTGGGTTGGGTGGCTGACTGGCTGTGGGTTGGGTGGCTGGCTGGCTGTGGGTTGGGTGGCTGGCTGGCTGTGGGTGGGTGAGTGGCTGTGGGTGGGTGGGTGGCTGTGGGGTTCATTGGCTTGTGAGGAGCTGCAGGATGTGGGGAGGAAGAACACAGGACCTCTGAGGGAGTCAGGTTCCCTCGCGTCCTATGGCGGTCGTGGTCGTGGTCACTCCTGTGGGGCAGTACAGCGCTCCTGAGCCATGCGGGCACTTCCAAGACCCCCCTGACGGCGATGCGATGCGTTTCCAAGGGGTCTCGCTTCCCTGGGCAGGTTGTGTGCTGTGTCAGCAAGCTTCCTTCTTCGGTCGGCAGCGGCTTTT